TTCAAACCAAATCTACGCCCTTGACTCCACCAAATGTACAGTTGATCACTCACATTTCAAGGCTTGCCTTACGCAAAATGGGATTTTTTTAGATACTTTCGCATAATTAATTGATAGAAATTAATGGTTTTCAATTCAGAAATAGATATTGGGTTTAATGTTACACATAAATTTGTTTAGACAACTTCTGCATTATTTATTACTTTTTCTTAATTGAATGCAAAGGTGTCCAATCCAGCCTGCGGGATGATTTGAACAATAAACTAATAAATAAAACATTCTTTTGAAAATTTGCGAGCTGACATTTTGTAACTTTGCAAGGTTTTCAGTGCCGGATGAAGGCAATCAGAATACAGTTATAATATAATTCAAGATATGGAGGCAAAAATGCCCTGTAAGAGTTTTTGTTTTGATGTTAAATGATGGTTAAGTAACGTTAACTATAACAAGAGTGCTGCTTTCTTGAATCTCAACGCGATCGCAAATTAATCGATTTTATACAAAAGCTCAACAAACAAGATGCTTTTATTAAGCGTGTTACACTTTAGCCACAATGCTGTCTGTTTATCTCTGTCTCGGAAATGAAAAGTTTTTAACAAAGCCAGCGCAAGACCAATTTTTCAGCACTGTGTATTTTGTTACTGAATGAATCTGTCTTTTTGATCAAACCATTTGAGTCAATGATACAGTGGCCACTTCATTAAGACAATCACTAGTTTCGTTTCTAAATGAATCAAACGGTTTGAATGAATGAGTCAATGGATCACTCATTAAGACGGGACTTGCTGCCACCTACTGGCAGCTTTACTGTCATATTTATTTATCCACGACAGCCTTAAACCAGCCATCTCAAAAACACACTCAGGTAATTATTAATAAATAACCTAAACCGCGTTTGACACCCGATTTAATGTGTGACGCGTCATAACAACATGAAGGAAGGATCTTCTCAGGTTCACATGAAGCAGCATTAGCATGGGTCTGGTCATGTGATCTCAGCAGGTCTGTCCACATGCGTCTGCCCGCTCCATGTTAAATAACACCTCTTTACCCAACTAACCTGTTTGTTCCTCAGTGTCTTTCAGACTGAATACTTCTTCAATCCTGATGCCTTCACTCTCCTCTTTAATAAACGCCATCTCTGTTTGTTCCTCAGGATCTTCATGTTTGACTCTGAAAGCGTCTTCAATCTTCACGTCTTCACCCTCCTCTTTAATAAACGCCATGTGCTTGGAGGATCTCAGTCGCTTCAGCAGGAGTTTGGACACTCAGTTCTGTTTAAGATGAGAGTAACAGAAAGAGAAATAAACCCAAACTAAATCTCAATCAGCTCTAGCTCAGTAGACTAAAACTAAACCTAGCTTTACAACACTGATAAAATAAGTTTACATTTAGGTAGTTATGATGTATATTTGTTATCTAATGATTTGCTGATCACGTTTAATCGACTGCACTTCAATGAAAGCATTTTCTCTTGGTCTGAGTTGTCGTTAAACACGCGGGTCGATTAAACGGCTTTGACCAGCACGTGACGCCAGAGCGGATTCAAGTGACTCGGAGTTCAAACGCTCGGTTCGTCCAGTGACTGAATAATGTTACATGTTTATGATAAACTGATTCTGATATACGAGCGAAATCAGACTCGCCTTGTGTTACTCGTGTGTGGATGCGCTCTACTCACACAAATAACGTTAAGAACTTTTAAATAAAGCATTGATATGTTACGGTCAATAATAAACAATTAATTCTGTATCGCTGGTAAAACTTTAAAGTTGAACAGTTCAAACACAAACCTTTCTTGAGTCGAATCACAGCAGGCGCATCCTCGTGACGTCACATCACCACGCCAAAATAAGAGTCCTGGGGCAAGCTTGTGCTACGGTTTCCGGTCTGAACGACATGTTTCCTGGAAACGGTGTGCAACGGGGTTTGAGATGCGTTTTCTCTTGTTTGGTGGGTGTGTCAAACATGTCAGCCCAATCAGCAGCAGCATGTATATAAACCATGCGGTATTAAAGAGACAGCTGGCACAGTAGGCTTGTTTGAGATGCGCCTGGCCTCGCCTGAAATGCAGGCGGCTGCGGTGAGGGCAGTGAAATAAGAGCAGACAAGACGGACAGCTCTGACCTCTCGAAGTGGAACAGATACCAATGAGATCAAAGACCGATATCGCGTTATTCTCACTCACGTGCTGTGCTGCTGATAAACATGATATCATTTCAGTTCTGTTGCTTTTATATGAAAATAAATATGATGAACGAGACACTCAAAGTGCTTGCTATTTAATTCCATACGAAAGGTGTATTTATCATCCATTTTTACTTTAATACAAACATGTATTTTAGATTTTTATAGAAATATGAGAACAATCACATTTTCTCACACAGAGATCGCACTGTCACAGTGTTTGGGAACATTCATGCATAATTTAAATACATAATCACATGAAATCAGATAAAAAATAAAATATTTTAGAAGAGAACCCAGCATCACGGTTGTCTGGACCAATGAGCATTAATCTGTGTCTTCAGCCAGTCGTTTCCCATCATGCTTTTGATCAGCGCAGTCGGTGGATCTTTAACTGATTTTTCCGTACATTCCTGCCATATGTACATTAACTGACAGCCACCACTGATAAACTACCACTAAATATTGTAGAAACTTAATTTGCTGTAAAGTTGCTTTGCAACCGTTTCCGTTTAAAACACGTTTTGCACCGTTTTGTCGGGGCTGAACGCAGGCCTGCTCACACTGCTGTCTAATGCATAGAAATCTTCTTCTTCTTCTTTGGAAATTTTTGGCGTATTCCGCACCATAGGCACATACTGCCACCAACTGTTTCTAATCATACATAGTCATACAATAGTCCCACCTCTATTCATATATATATATATTTTTTTTTAATTGTTAATTTTATTTCAGGCTCACCCAAGCTGTATTTCTGGCTGCTGCGTGTTCAGCTCCCATGCCAAAAAACCCAGCTTGTGTGTTCCCCTATTCCTTTGCTTTTCTCTTAATCCTTTTCCTAATATCCAGTTTATCTTCTTTTTTTCTTTATTATTACCATTTAAGTTATTTATCATTTTAATTCTCTCTATATTATATTTCCGACAGTTTAATATTACATGTTCAGTGGTTTCTATTACCCCACAAAAAGCACATTTACCTGTAATATGTTTACCTTATATGTTGGTAGAATCTCTAGATACTATCACTCTCTGTTGTTTAAAGTGATAAAATCTAACTTAATTCCCACCATATTTCTGATATTATCTGAGATTATCTTTCAACCTAATCTGATTAATTTGATCGTTCACTTTTATTCTAAAACCGCGACCTGCAGCGCGTTAGCATTCGTTAGCCGGGTAGCTTGTCATTAGCGTTTCCATTCGCGCCTACTGCCGTTTTCTTTTTTTTTCTCTCTCTCTCTCTCCGTTTATTTTCACAAGTTCATCAAACAACTGTGGTAAGAATCATTCATCAATCATAGTGAGTAATGGCTTCTTCTCCTGCTATTGTTGTTTGCACCGCTTGCCACATGTATAGTTTATCTCTCTCTGTCGGTGACGAGGGATTCACATGTGATAAATGCAGGGAAATAGTTAGGCTGACAGAGAAGATTTCAGAATTAGAGACACGCATCCAAACT